ACGTGGCTCGTGGCTTCAGTCAGCGGCAGGGGGTTGACTACTTTCAGACCTTCTCCCCCACCCCGAAGATGACCACTCTTCGGGTTCTGCTGCACGTTGCTGCTCACCGTGACTACGAGCTGCACTCTCTCGACTTCAGCACAGCTTTCTTGCAGGGCAGCCTGCACGAGGAGATCTGGCTGCGTCGCCCACCTGGCTTCACTGGGTCTTTCCCTCCTGGTACCCAGTGGAGTCTCCGGCGTCCAGTCTACGGTCTCCGCCAGGCGCCACGTGAGTGGCACGACACACTGAGGACTACGCTCGCGGCACTGGGGTTTGCTCCTTCTACTGCCGACCCGTCGCTGTTTCTGCGCACCGACACCTCTCTGCCGCCGTTCAACATCCTCGTGTACGTCGACGACTTGGTCTTTGCCACAGCTGACACTGCTGGACTCGCCTACGTGAAGTCCGAGCTGCAGAAGAGACACACGTGCACTGACCTGGGTGAACTGCGCAGCTACCTTGGCTTGCAGATCACCCGGGACAGAGCACGCCGCACCATTACCCTGACTCAGTCACACATGGTGCAGCAGGTCCTTCAGCGCTTCGGCTTCACGTACTCCTCGCCTCAGGCCACTCCTCTGCCTACTCGCCACTCGCTCTCAGCTCTGCCTTCGGATGAGTCCGTAGAGTCGAGTGGCCCGTTTGCAGAGCTTGTTGGCTGCCTCATGTACCTGATGACCTGCACAAGACCTGACCTCGCATACCCTCTTAGCATTCTCGCACGCTTTGTTGCTCCTGGGAGACACCGACCAGAGCACATGGCTGCAGCGAAGAGGGTGTTGCGCTACTTGTGCAGTACGTCGGGCATGGGGCTAGTGCTTGGAGGGCGCAGTCCAGTGGTCCTCACTGGGCACGCAGACGCTTCTTGGGCTGACGACCAGGCTACGCAGCGGTCGTCACAGGGTTACACCTTCAGCCTTGGTTCCGGCTCTGTCTCGTGGCGGGCTACCCGCTCGTCTTCTGTTCTCGGCTCCAGTTGTGAGGCTGAGATCTACGCTGGGGCTATGGCTGCACAGGAGTTACGCTGGCTCACCTACCTGCTGACCGACCTTGGAGAGCAGCCTCGTTCTCCTCCAGTCCTGTACGTAGACAACAAGGCCATGCTGGCCTTGTGTCGAGAGCAGCGACTGGAGCACAGAACGAAGCACATTGCTCTCCGCTACTTTCTTGCTCGTGAGCTACAGCAGCGTGGACAGTTGCGACTTGCGTACGTGGTCTCTGAGGCCAACACTGTTGATGTCTTCACCAAGGCACTTGCGCCTTGTGATCATCAGCGTTGCTGCACGCAGTTGGGTCTTGTGCCTGTCTTGCCTCACTTGCTCTCCTCTTGACTTTGCTTGTACCTTCGCATATATATACCCTTGCTCTTGCTTACTTGACTCTTGTATACCTCTATATATGATCTTGCATGTGAACTGGCCTTCTGGCCTTTGAACTTGTGCTCGGAATGCGTGGTGACTTTGTGATCCACCCTGAGCTTTGCTTTGCTTTGCTTGACTGGTCTTGTGACCCCTTGTTCTCCCCCACTTTGCCTATGGGGGTGTGTCAGAACATATAGCTTACTTATTTGTGTAGGCTATAGTGGGGTATCCCATAGGGGGTACAACCCAATTAGGGTTTCCTATTTGTACTCACTTCGTTTATACTCATTTCATTCTCGTTCAATTCTTCTCAATAAAGACCTAAATAAAGAGGAGAGAAGGGAGAATAGGATAACGGAAAAATATAATAGTGAGAAAATAATATAACGGGGACGTCCTCTCACAAGTGCGGTCACCAGTGCGAATGACGTACGTGCAGCTAAAGCCACCCCCCCCCCCCCCCCCCCCCCCCGTGCTGAGAGTACCACTCACGGACCTCCTGGGGCGACGGAGTGTGCTGCTGGCTCTGGCCACCGCCAGTGCCTCCACGACCACCACCGCCGCCGCCACCTCCTTGACCACCCCAACCCCTGCCGCCGCCGCGTCCACCGCCACCCCCATCACCGCCTCCGCCCCTGCCACCTCCCCCGCCGCTGCCGCCACCACCCCCACCTCTGCCACTAGCCCCTCCAGTCGCGCCACCACCCCTACCGCCGCCACCGCCCCCACCACCGCCTCCCCCGCTGTCACCGCCACCGCCCTTGCCCCCTTTGCCCTTGCCGCTGCGGCGCCCGCTCGAAGCAGACGCAGTCCCGACCTTCTAAGCACCAAGGAGGTCGACAGCAGCAGAAGAGGCGATAGAGGGAAGAAGGGGGGAAGGAGAACACCCCTCAAAGAACGGGGTACGGGGGTCGCCACGAGAGGCACCTACAGCGACTATGCTAGTCTCAGCTGCAAGGAGTTCCTTCTCGAGGAGGGCAATGGTGAGCTCAGTGGGGCAGCGAGCTAGGAAGTGGTCCCTAACTGAGCGCAGAGTGTCAGGGAGGCGGGTGACTAGGTGGTAGAGAGTGAGCCAGAGTGGGGGTGGGTTCTTGGCAAGGAACTCATCAGGCATGGCGGCGCGGAAGCGAGCCTCACTAGTGCGGAGGTGCGTAATGAGGTCAGCGACTGTGTGGAAAGAGGCTAAGTCGGGGAACAGGTAGGGAAGAGAGAGACGGCCTAGTGCGGCAGGGGCCGGTGAGGAGTAGCGGGCAACGACAGCAGTGTACAGTGTCTGTGCAGTCTTGTGCTGCCCAAAGTGCTCGCGCTCATCTATCGGCAGGGAGTTGCGAATAGCGAAGCGAGCGTGGGCGTCACGAGTCTGCCACTGTGAGCAGGCAGTGCTGTCAGCAGTAGCAGCAGGAGCAGGAGCATGGCCTAGGGCGTGATCGTACAGTGAGATGTCCTCCTTGGCAGTGAGCTGTAGGAAGAGGTGTAGGTCATCTAGCCAGGTTTCGAACTTCACTATGCGGCCCTCAGCATCGAAAGCCAGCACAGGAGGGCTAGCCATAGCAGTAGTAGGAGTAATAGCAGTAGGGGCACCCCAAAAACAGTAGGCAGTGCGACTCAGGTAGGGCGGCTCGGTCCAGTACGGGCGGCGCGGCTCGGTTCAGGTAGGGCGGCGCGGCTCGGTTTGGGCTGGGCGGCTCGGTTCGGGCGGCTCGGTTCGGGCTGGGCGGCTCGGTTCGGGCTGCTCGGGTCGGGCGGCTCGTTCTGGGGGGGCCGTTCGGGGCCTCTAGGGGCGAGCGCGGGGCCGTAAGGGGCCGCTAAGGGCGAGCGCGGGGCCGATCGGGGCCTCTAGGGGCGAGCGCGGGGCCGTAAGGGGCCGCTAAGGGCGAGCGCGGGGCCGTTCGGGGCCTCTAGGGGCGAGCGCGGGGCCGTAAGGGGCCGCTAAGGGCGAGCGCGGGGCCGTTCGGGGCCTCTAGGGGCGAGCGCGGGGCCGTAAGGGGCCGCTAAGGGCGAGCGCGGGGCCGACGGGGGCCTCTAGGGAGGTGAGCGCGGGGCCGACGGGGCCGTTAGGGGCGATCGCGGGGCCGACAGGGTCGCTAAGGGGCGAGCGCGGGGCCGTAAGGGGCGAGCGCGTGGGCCGACGGGGCCTTAAGGGGCGGTCCGCGAGTCGCTAAGAGGCGGGTCGCGGGTCGCGGGGCCTTAGGGGGCCATGAAAAACGAGGCGCCCTAGGGCGCAGTTAGGTAGGTAGGTAGGTAGGTAGTGGTGGGCCCTAAAAAAAAGGTCCTAGCGAAGGACCTGCTCTATACCATGTTGAAATGAACGAACATGAATGATTGGACTAACAGTGAAATCAGTACAAGTACGTAACCCTTGAATTATGTACCCCCTATAGGCTAACCCACTGTAGCCTAAACAAGCACAACATATATAATGCTTGACAAAATGCAGCTGCCTGACAGTGCATGAAAGCCTGATTGGGCCGCAAGGCAACTTTCACGTCAGCGCTGGCAGGTGCGCTGCTCCTGGACGGGATTTGTGCGGTCGGGAATCGAAGCGCAGTAGTTTTCGGCGGGATTACATGCATTATCCTACGCGCACGTTACTCAATTGTGTTCGCCTTATTGCGGGCTCCGATTTGGTGCATAAAAATAACAAATTCATTTTTGCCATGATATAAGCGCCGGCGCTTATGCCGTTATTCAATTACAAGCGCCACCCCTAAAAAAAATGATTTTATTTTAGGCGCATATGCGCCTACATCCGGGGTAATACGGTAACAAGCGATGGGCGACAAGTGACTGGTGACGGGCAACGACACGACAGAAATTCCCTTTCCATTCCCATCATGCTGCTGTGAGGTTCCAGTTTGTAGGTTCTGCCGTTAGTCGCCGTCTGCCACTTCGCCATGGCCAGAAGGTCGCGACAGCCTGGCGCTGTCGCGTTGCCGGCACGTTGAGACGAAGCCGATGTGACCGCATCTGGCGCGTCTCGCGCCGTTGATGTACGGTCCAGAACGGGTGGCGGACTGCAGACGGGTCGGGAAGGCACAGAAGCGGAACCGCCATGTTCTGTCTGACGGCGAAGGCGACAGGGCACGATGCGGCGTTTAACGCGTCTGGATCATAAACAGACGGAATCGACAGCGCGTCTCCTGTCTCGCGTCAGCGTCGTGTGACCGTAGATTCATGGTTACGCGCGATTGTCGCGTTCGGAACGAACGCAAGTCAATCCAAGTCAGCACGCTTGGGTCGTCGCAGGGGACGGCGAGAAACGACACCGATGGGTGCGACTCGCCCTGTGTTCAGGAGACACCTATACGAGACCCATGCGACAGTCCTGCGACATCCATACGACAGCCAGGTCACGCCACGCGCATCATAGTAGGACCACGCGGCTTTCACTGATGCCGACTCGACGAGGTCGTTCCCAGTGCGACTCGACACCTTCGTCTCACCATAAAGCCCTTCTTCCAGTTTCCAATCCGTCAACCACACCTTCACGGCCCTTACTCGCCGATAAACCTTTGATTGGACTCAAAAGTAACCATACGCACCTGCGATCAGCACGGCCGTCTCAACCTGCTCGCAGCACCCTCTTCCGCCATCACGATGGCTCCCACCCGAGCTTGCGCTCTCCGTCACCGGCTCTTCCGTGAGCCACCAGCACCTCATGCCTTCGCAGCCGCCGTCCTTGCCGTTGCTCTCCTCGCCGCCGTTGCTCTCCTCGCCGTTGCTCTCCTCGCCGCCGCCGCCGCCCCCGGTGTGACTGTACAGGGCGCGCCGTTAGCGGGGACGGCGTGCGTGAACGAGTTTCCCACGAAGCCGCTGTGCAGGTTCGTGGATGACCTGGCGGCCGCGCCGCGCGTGGAGGTGGACGCGTCCACGGGGAGGACGATCCGCATCGGCGCGTATCAGATCTACCAGGCGAGTCGAACTTGAAGAGCGCGTACTGCAACGGTGGGCGAAAGAGAGAGTGAGTAGCGCTGATTGTGGGGTGCCTTCCTCACTGGCTGTCCTCTTGTCGTTCTCTCACTCCCCGCACTCTCTCATTTAGTATCTCTCTCTTTCTTTCTTCCACAGTTGCCAAGTCTCACCCTCAACTACACTAAACGTCAAAGGGCTCAACACCCTCACTCCCCCATCCACACACTTTCCCATCCACACACTTTCCCATCCGCACACTTTCCTATCCACACACTTTCCCATCCGCCCACTTTCCCATCCGCACACTTTCCCATCCGCACACTTTCCCATCCACACACTTTCCCATCCACACACTTTCCCATCCACACACTCCCCCATCCACACACTTTCCCATCCACACACTTTCCCATCCACACACTTTCCCATCCACACACTTCTCAACACACTCTGCCATTCACACATGCGTATGGGCGCAACGCCATGCCTCCCTCGTCCACATACTGCCTCTCTCATTCCGCCCACACCTCTCCCTCTTCCCCCCCCCCCCCCCTCCCCCCCTCCAATTAACAGAAGCTGCACCGCGACCTGCCGGCCACTCGGCTGTACGCCTATGGGCTCAACGAGCGCACTGCTCATTACCCTGGCCCCACTCTCATCGCCCGACGTGGGATCGCCACCAAGGTACAAAGGGGTGGGGAGTGGTGGTACGGAGGGGTGGAGAGTGGTGGTATGTAGGGGTGGAGGGTGGTGGTTCAGAGGGGTGGAGGGCGGTGGTTTTAGGGTTGTTTCTTTCTGTGCATTCGATCCTGGGAGATGGAGTCATCTCAAAACCTGCCTTGTTCGTGCATGTGTGCTCGCATGTGTGTGTGCGTACATGGCATGTGAGCCCACCACCAGGTGCGATGGGAGAACCACCTGAGGGACAAGACGCACATGTTCGCAGTGGACTATACCCTCATGGACGTTGCTAATCCCAAGCGCGGCAACATCCCCATTGGTAACTACCACTTCTCCCCACCCGCAATCCCCTCCCTCTCCCCATCGGCCTCCCCTCCCCTCTATTCGTCTCCATGTCTCCCTTCACTGCCTTTAAGTGCCAAGTCTCCCCTCTATCCCTCTCTTTGTCTCCGTTCTCTGCCCTCAAGTGCCGAGACATCTCAAAATCCCCACTCTGTGCCACCTCGCTCTGACCCTCCCTGCGCCCCTGCAGTGATCCACAAGCACGGCGGCGAGACCCCATCGCACTCCGACGGCCACCCACAGGCGTGGTTCACGCAGTTCGGGGAAACAGGCCCCACGTACCGCTCGCGCCGCTACACCTACCCCAACGACCAGCAGCCGGCTACCCTGTGGTACCACGACCATGCCGTCGGCATCACACGCCTCAACGTGGCTGCTGGCATGGCCGGGCTGTTCCTTCTCACCGACCCCAAAGGCGTCGAGAGGAAGCTTCGGAAGCAGCTTCCAGCCCCGGAGTTTACCCTGCCCCTGGCGATCTCGGACCGATCGTTCTTTGCCAACAGGTCCATTGACTACCTCTCTGGGGGCTGGGAGCCTGAGTATTTCGGGACCACCATCCTTGTCAGTGGCTTGGTGAGTCGTGCTTCTTTCTCCTTCACTTCCTCCTACGCTGCCTCTGCTTCTTCCTTCGTTCGTCGTCATCCCACCTCAACCGCTTTCTCTTTCTCTTCCCCTTCCTTTTCCTTCGGCGCCTCACATTCTTCTGTCGTTAATCTCATCTCATCCAGGCAAACCGCACAGGTCTGGCCGTACCTATCAGTGAGGCGCACGAGGTACCACTTCCGAGTGCTGGGGGCGGCCAGCAGCCGCTTCTTCAATCTGCGCTTCGTGTGCGCCGCCCCCGACAACTACCCCGACTTCACCCCGCCCATCACAGGCCATGCGCTGCCCATCATCCAGGTGTGATGTGCTATACTTTGTGCTGCCCATCGTGCAGGTGTGTGCTATGCTGTGTGCTCCCCGCCATGCTTCAGGTACGCCCCCTTCCCCTCCTGCTTCGTGTGCGCCGCCCCCTCCAACTACCCCGACTTCACCCCTCCCATCACAAGGTATACGCTGCCCATCGGGCAGGTGTGTGCTATGCAGTGCTGTCTGCTCGCTGCTGCATGGATCATGGGCACATGTATGTGTGTTGCTGACGGCAACAGTGCCTGTGCTGCAGCATCAGTTATTGCATGTTCGTGGGCAACTTTTGAGTCGACTCAAAGCAATATTCCCTCTTTTGATGTGATAAATAAACGAGCAGCAGCGTTCGCGCTGCAGCGTCAGCTATCTGTGCTCATGACAGTCCCTCCTCTCCACACATTCACATCCCTCTGCACCCTCCCATATCCCCCACCATGCTCATTCCCCGCCCCTCGCATCCCTGTCAATCTGACAATTTCCACCGAGCAAGCATATACAGGTGTCCATCACCCAGGTGTGTGCTGCCCACCCAGCAACCATATCCAGTCCCATCCCGTCCCTCCCTTCCCCGTCCCTCCTCCCCCATCCCACCCTGGCTCTCCCCGTCTTCAGATTGCCATGGACAGCGCCTACCTGCCCCGCCCTCGCTGTCCTTGCCAAACTTACCAATGCGCCTCCCCCTCCCCCTCCCCCTCCCCCTCCCCCTCCCCCTCCCCCTCCCCCACCCCCTCCTTCCCCCCCACCCCCTCCTCCCCCCCCCACCCCCTCCCGCTCCCGCTCGCTCTCCTCTCCCCATCCCACCAGATCGGCACGGACGGAGGCTACCTGCCCCGCCCCGTCACCCGCGCCTCGCTGCTGCTCGCCCCAGGGGAGCGCCACGTCATTCTCGTTAACTTCACCTCGCTGCCCGCCTCCTGTGCCGACGTCATCAACGACGCCCCCGCGCCCTTCCCCTCGGGCGAGGCACCGGGCCGCAACGCCACGGGCGTGGTCATGCGGTTCATTGTGGATAGCGCCGGCGCTGTTGTGCCGTCACCGCCCGTCCCCAAGAAGCTCGTGGTGAGTGTGTGTCCTCTGGGGGACGGGCAGCATGGGTTGGGCGGGCAGCATGGATTGGGCGGGCAGCATGGGTTGGGCGGGCAGCATGGGTTGGGCGGGCAGCATGGGTTGGGCGGGCAGCATGGGTTGGGCGGGCAGCATGGGTCGGGCGGGCAGCATGGGTTGGGCGGGCAGCATGGGTTGGGCGGGCAGCATGGGTTGGGTGGGCAGCATGGGTTGGGCGGGCAGCATGGGCTGGGCGGGCAGCATGGGTTGGGCGGGCAGCATGGGTTGGGCGGGCAGCATGGGTTGGGCAGGCAGCATGGGTTGGGCGGGCAGCATGGGTTGGGCGGGCAGCATGGATTGGGCGGGCAGCATGGGTTGGGTGGGCAGCATGGATTGGGCGGGCAGCATGGGTTGGGTGGGCAGCATGGGTTGGGCGGGCAGCAACGCCACGGGCGTGGTCATGCGCTTCATTGTGGACCGCATGGGGAGTGTTGTGCCGTCGCCTCCTGTCCCAAAGAAGCTTGTTGTGAGTGTGTGCACCGTGGGCAGGGCAGCAACGGCACGGGCGCTGGTGTGTGCACTGTGGGCAGGGCAGGGCAGCAGCAGCACGGGTGTGCTGTGCTGGAAGCTATTTCCCCCATTTCCCCCCTCCACCGACCATCTCTCTGCCTGAGGCTTCTTCCTCCTTAACCTGCTGCGCCCATCCCAGACAAATTCTCATCTCGCCCCTTCTGTGTGGCCGGGGAGATTCGGATGGCAGCATGGCACGCCCCACTCCAACCTCTCTTTGACTTACGTTCCTTGGGTCATCAACCTCCTCTTTTCCCCCTTAGTCGTTCCCACAACCCCCCCCTCCCCCCCCCCCTCACCTCTTTCTTTCCCACACGCCCACTCAACTTTCGTCTTCCCACACCCCCCCTCACCTCTGTCTTCCCCACACCCCATCTCACCTCTTTCCTCCCAACATTCCCCCTCCCGCCATGCCAGTCCCTCGCTGCACGGCTGGAGTAATGTGTAGCAGAGTTACAATCTCCTACAAATGTGGATCTCATGATTTATATATGTCTCGTGCTTACTTTTCTTTGTCGTAGGAGTACCGAGTTGACTTTTGAGTCGACTCAAAAGTTTGTCGTAGGAGTACCTCTTCCATCTCTCCTGCATGGCGAAGGGGAGGTGGATGACGGCCATGGAGCTATCTGCCCCTGACAGGCTGGCCTGTGCGCCTCACTCGCCTTCTCTCCTCCCCATTCCCCCCCTGCCCGCCGTGGCAGTCCCTTCCCAAGCCTTCCCAAGCTGCACCTCTCCTGTGTGAGCAAGGAGAGGTGGATTACAGTGGTGGGGCTGTCTTCCCCCAACAGGCCTGCCTGTGCGCCTCACTCACGCTCTCTCTCTCTCTCTCCTAACATCCCCCTCCTGGCGTGGCAGTCGCTTCCCAAGCTGCGCCTCTCCCGTGTGAGCAAGGAGAGGTGGATGACAGCCGTGCAGCTGTCTTCCCCCCAACGCATCACCTTCGATGGCCGCGGCTTCAGTGACGCGCCCACCGAGACTCCCAAGCGGGTGAGTTTAGTGAGGAGAGGCACCCGAGATGGTAAGAGTGTAGAGGCGGAGAGGCACCCATGCAGATGAGTGTTTAGGCAAGGCACCTTGGCACACCACGCTTTACACGGTGACACCTATCCCATTCACTTCTTGTTTCGCATTCACCCCATACCCCCGCTGCTGCCGTCTTTCCACGCTGCGTGCCATGTGCCTCATGGCCTGTGCTACCTGTCGTGAGCATGGCGTGTGCTACCTGTCGTGAGCATGGCGTGTGCTACCTGTCGTGAGCATGGCGTGTGCTACCTGTCGTGCGCATGGCGTGTGCTACCTGTCGTGAGCATGGCGTGTGCTACCTGTCGTGAGCATGGCGTGTGCTACCTGTCGTGAGCATGGCGTGTGCTACCTGTCGTGAGCATGGCGTGTGCTACCTGTCGTGAGCATGGCGTGTGCTACCTGTCGTGAGCATGGCGTGTGCTACCTGTCGTGAGCATGGCGTGTGCTACCTGTCGTGCGCATGGCGTGTGCTACCTGTCGTGAGCATGGCGTGTGCTACCTGTCGTGCGCATGGCGTGTGCTACCTGTCGTGAGCATGGCGTGTGCTACCTGTCGTGAGCATGGCGTGTGCTACCTGTCGTGAGCATGGCGTGCGCTACCTGTCGTGAGCATGGCGTGTGCTACCTGTCGTGAGCATGGCGTGTGCTACATGTCGTGAGCATGGCGTGTGCTACCTGTCGTGAGCATGGCGTGTGCTACCTGTCGTGAGCATGGCGTGTGCTACCTGTCGTGCGCATGGCGTGTGCTACCTGTCGTGAGCATGGCGTGTGCTACCTGTCGTGAGCATGGCATGTGTTTTGAGCAGAACTCGGAGGAGCTATGGCACGTCAGACGCCCTCCCATCCAGCACCTCATCAAGCACCTCCCCATACATCCCCCTGTCGATGCCCTCTTTGCATGCTGTGTGCCAGCTGTGCACAATGAGTAGAACTCGGAGGAGCTATGGCACATAATCAATGACACGCCAGACGCCCACCCCATCCACCTGCACCTCATCATGCACCGCCCCCTCGCCCGCCGCCCCTTCAACCGCACCGCCTACCGCAACAGCCAGTGCGCCTTCCCTGGCAACTCCTCCGCCAACTCCTCCCTGCCCAGCGCTTCACGGGGGAGGGGAGCAGCGTGAGAGTGAGTGGGAGGGCGGATGTGGGGGAGTGCGAGCGTGGGTGAAAGGACACCACTGTGCTGCAGCGGGATGAGGTGCTCACCCTCTGGACCGGCTGGTTCTCCCAGGTGACACTCTCGCCCCACTCCTGCCTGCCTCTGTTTTCAGAGGCGTTTCTTGCGGCACCTTCTCTATTGGGTGTGCATACTGAATTGAGCGAGGCGTTTACTCCAAGCCCTAGGTGTGGAGTGTACTGATGTGTGTGTGTGTGTTTCGCTTGTCTCCTTGCAGGACGGGTCGCCGCTCCCCTTCAACCCCACGCGTGGCCCGGGGTACGTGTGGCACTGCCACATCCTGGAGCACGAGGACAACGACATGATGCGGCCCCTCATTGTCACGTAGCGAGCATGGAAAGCACCGGGACCATGGCGTGTGGATGGTGTGGGTGTATAGAGCACAGCAGCGGCGTGCATGGGTGTGGGAATAACGTAGCCAGGGGTGCGCGTGTGGCACTGCCACATCCTGGAGCACGAGGGCAATGAGATGGTGCAGCTCCTCATTGTCAAGTAGAGAGCATGGGGAGCAGGAGGGTGTGTGCATGGGTGTAGAGAGCAAAGCTGCATGCATTGGTGTGGAGTGGGAATAATGTGGCCGTGGCTGGGTGCGGCACAGCTCATGTTGTGACATGCAATGTTTGTCCCTTGTGAATACAAGAGGTCACACATCTTTACACCTTCCGAGGAAGGGGAGAGGTAGGGGAGAGAGACAAGGTGGTTGGCTTGGGCTATTGTGGCATTCAAGAGAGGAGCTTTGCATACAAGAGTGGGGGGGCTAGTGTGGGGGCTAGTGGCAAGTGGGTGAAGAACATAAATTTACATGCTTTTCACGCTGCATCACTCTCCTTTTTAAGCAGCAGATGCGAGAGCCATTCCTTCCCCACCTTCAATTTGGCGTAGCAGTTCCGGCCGGGATCGAGATTATGTCGCACGCAGTGTGCTCCGCCTTCTCCCTTCATCCAGACTGGGTGGTGCTCAGGGCAAATTTTTGGTTTTGACATACCCTTAAGATCAGTGTACCCCTATCTCAAAAAACTGATTATCAGTGTGACCCCCTACAGAAAAACTTTCACATCAGGGTATTGTTAACTTTTTAAAAATTTACCCTGTCGCATCAGTGTAACATTTTTGTAAAGCCTGGTCATTTTATTTTAATGCTGCACGCAATACAGATCCTACTCATCATCAGGCATGGCCCAAGGGTGTTCATCGTGGTCACTTCCCTCCTCTGGCTCTGGTGCCTTCTGCTTCCCCTTCCGATCCACAAGTATCAGGGGCGCAACTGATTTCGCAGGCTTGCGCGTTTTCTGCTTGCGCCAGATGTCCACCACGTCTGGCCAGACGTAGGGGTACTTCAGCATGTGCAGCGTCATCAGGTCGCCAAGGCGTGCATCGCACAGCGATGTACGCATCCAGCTCTTTATGATATTCTGGCGACTGAACCCTCTCTCACACTCCACTGTGCTCAGTGGCAGCACAGCGAGGGCCTGCCAGAGTGTCATTAGGTTCGGATAGCTGCGTCGCCAATCCCGGCTCTTCAACATGCTGTGAAGACCCTGGTGAAAATTTTCTCCCGCGTGATGGCGTGGCATGATGTGACAAAAGCTCCTCAGCTCCTTCTTGGCGGCCTTGAAATCGAATCCTGGCGTAGAAGGGGTTTGGGGCGGGGGAAGTAGTTAGCGGTGGTTGTCCGATGTTGGATGACATGCACGAGACAATACGTGTGAAAGGAAATGAAACCTCACAGCTCACCTGGTAGCATGCCGCCAAACAGCGCGTCGTTTGCGGCCAGCCACTCGAGGGTCTTCAATTCGCGCTGGTCATCTCTGCTCGGCCACGATTCAACTTGAAACAGCTTAGCGCCGCCCAACTGCTGCAAGTCCCACATGCGGTACTTCATGCGTGCGACAATTTCCTTCGCGAACCCCGTGCAGAGCTTCTCGCAGTCAGCAATCGTGCCCCCAAACTTGTGCTTCCTGATTGGGGTCTCGCTCAGCTCGAACTTGTGTGATGTCTGCCGCCCCTCCGAGTCAATGCCTTCAACCACCACCGTCCGGTTGTCACCACCGTGCTGCTTAATGAACTTGGACAGGTGCTTGCTGGCCCCGCCGCCAAAGGTGTCTTCGTACTGTATGTAACGGTGAGTGATGATGGTGATCGTGTGGTCGACTTCTTTGGCCACTAGTGTGATGTCCACCTGAACACAACGGGCACGTGAAACATGTTAGTCGAGGAACAATTTAGTGTTACCACAATAACGACCGGTACAAATGGAACTTGCCTTGCGGTGCTGGAAGAAGCGGTTGAGAGAGTTGAGCACAGCAAGAATGTCTGCGAGGAAGTACAAACAGAAGTGAAATTTGAAGGTCTGTACTGTTGCAGCAATTTTGTGGCGGTACTCAACAATCATGACGATCGCCGCCCCAAGTACTCTGCATAGCCTCGCTATAGCATCTCCGCGTGATAGCCAACGGACGTTGAAAATTCTCTGGTGTTCAAGATTTGTCTTGTGTATCTCTTGTTGCAGCTCCTTGAATCTGTCGTACCAAATGTTGGAACGGCAGATGATCTCTCCCACGGCTCGCACTGCATCGTCGATCATGTTCAGGTCGGGGAAAGCCTTCGCAGCATCCTTGACCACGAGTGCTTCCCTGCAACACATCCAAGTGGTAGATTAGTTAAGCTTAACGATGAACGGTTTTACAGCATTGCATGCGATGATTCTCGGAAACGCTTAAGCGAAGCTCACCGATGCGCGACGCAGTGACATCCGACGAGATGCGGCACGTGCTCTTGCAAACGGCTAACCAGACCGTTCTTCTCCCCCGTCATCACAGAAGCTCCGTCGGTGCCGATGCCGGAAACCCGCTTGATGTCCACCCCAGCAGACTCCAGGTGGCTTGTGAGCACAGTGAAAAGTGAGGATGCGTCGCACTTGTGCACCGTCAGTAGCGCCAGAAATTCCGTGACGGACACGCCATTTTTGAGGAAGGTGGCAAACACGATCAAATGTTTGCCGCGAGCGCGATCGGTGCTCTCGTCGCAAGTAATGCCGATGAATGGTGAAGCGAGAAGATGCTGCAGCTGCTGTGTTTTATGGTACTTAGCCATCGCCGAGGCCATTTTGTTGAATCCGTACCTGCCACAAGCCGAGGTGAAAGCGCTTAGACACAAATGGAATGCGGAAACATTCGTTGCGGGCTGGCTATTTTGGCACACGCTTACTGTGTGATGTACACGCCGTAGGACTGAAGCGGTATGTCCTCTACTCCCTCCTCTGCGAGGAAGCCTATGAGCTTCTGAAACATCGCGATCGGTGCGTCGTTGTTGCAGATAAACTCCACGCCGCGCATGAGACGAGTCAGCCGCGCCCCCTCCTTGTCGGTATTGGCGAAGTCGTCGATCCTCTTCTGGTGCTCGATCTCCGCCATGAGCGTCCGCTGCCGCTTCATCGCTTCCTCGTGGCGGCCGCTCAGCTCGTGGCATCGCATTGATCCGAGCTGCAGATCACGGCCCCCCGTTCCGTTCCGTCCGAATTTCGCATCGTCTTTTCCATGCTCCACGCAGATGCTGCATCGCAGAATGGGCAGGTCGTCGGCGTTCTTGTCCAGCAGCAGCCAGCCAAATTTCGGCAGCCACTGCGTGATGTATAGCTGCTGCGCCTTCAAAAATTTCTCTTCAGCCTTCTTGGCGTCGGTGAGTTCACGGGAGACTGGCTTCGGAACTTGGAGTGGAGCGGGCGACGGAACCGGTTTTGCTGGTGGCGTGCCGAACGGTAGAACGGCCTGCGCGTAGCGACGCCTCTTCTTCGAGGCTGCAGACGATGATTCGCCCACCTCTGACACGCTGACAGTGGCGGGAGCACTGTCTGGCGTGACGGCATTGGAAGCAGGCGGGGGTGACAGACTCTGTTTCCCTTTGCTGCAAGAAGACGGGCCTGGAGTGAGGACAAGCGGAGGGTTCGCATGCACCGCGCACAGGAAATAAAGGCCTGTTCGTGCGGGCACATCCTTTGATGGCTCGTCAGCAGCTTCTCCGTCACTGTCCTCTGCAAGAGCCATGGCTGCTTAAGGACAGTAGGAGAACCGCCAACGTTGCTCTACTTGGCGTGAGTGCTGTGTTGTTGCGAGAGGAAACCTCGCATGTGTTCATGACCCCTGTCATTTCGTGCCTCTGTTTCCTAACGTGCACGCAAACAAGCAGCGGAGCCTGCCTCAGTCGTGCAAGGAACGCGGTGCCCAGTGGGCTAGTGGGCATCGAATTGTTGTTGCATTCAGCCAAGTTTCCAGCCAACCCGGCCTTGTTGTCAAGTCTGACAAACAGACCAACTAGCGGAGGTGGCGGTGCCAGCAAAGAAACTGTAAACCTGGCCAATAGTGGCCCTCTGTGTGCCAGCACAGGAGTTGTCAAGGCCGAAATTCCAGCCTCAGTGGCCTTGGTGGAATCCCAGGTTACGGGAAAGGGGGGGTGGGTGAACCGGGGGGAGGGAGGGTGTAGGGTACGCGTTACAGGGTAAAACTTGTTACGGGATCCGTAAACCCTTGGCCATCAGTGTGCCTTACAAAAAAAACCTGACACATCAGGGTAAATCTACCTCCACAAAAAAAAAACCCTAGCCCATCAGTGTGACCATCAAAAACCACCCTGATTATCAGGGTATCAGGGTGATTTACACTGATAAAATTAGGCCTGGTGGTGCTTCAGCTGGACGTTGCAAACCCGTTCAACTCGTTCAACCGGGTTCCAATGTTTGAGGCATTAAGGCGCTCCCCATTCTCCAGTCTCATTCCCTTCTTCCGCCTATTCTACTCCACCCCTTCACCTCTCCACTACCGCAACGGCCCCCTTCTCCACACATTCCAGTCAGCTTCTGGTGTTCGTCAAGGCGACCCTTGTGGCCCTTTCCTTTATGCCCTAACACAGCAGCTAGCCATCCAACCAACCCAGCAGCAGTCTCCCTCAATTTTTTATTACCTCATACGCAGACGATACCTACTTGATCGGCCCTCCCTCAGACGTCTTTGCCGCATACACTGACCTTACCTCCCGCCTTCTCTCTCTCGGCCTTACAGTCCAACCCTCTAAGTGCTCTCTATGGGCCCCTAAGGACCTGCCTGAACACTGCATTCCGCCCCCGGGTATCTCCATCGCTGCAAACCGTCTCACTGTCGCTAGCGTTCCTACCGGCTCCGACGGTTACATCATCTCTACAGTTCGTGACAAACTCTATTCTTTCACTTCCTCCCTCCTCTTACTGCATCAACTGCAGGACCCACAGATTGCCTCACGGATCCTTTCCTTATGCATCACTGCCCGACCTTCTTTCCTCCTCCGAACTGTCGCACC